ATTTCACATGAGATATATATGAGAGGGGAATATAATGGGATTGATGTTATGGTGTCACATGCTTTGTTATCAATGGCTGTGACAACAAGTACTACCACTACTAATTCCCACATGTGCATCATGTCCCTATTTATGACATCAATTTTCACTTAGACACCTTAACTAAACTTTGTTCATTTTAGACACCTCATGTCATGTCCCGTTGTGTCATCTTGACACTTTTTACTGACATGGCATAGTGAGTGTAATACACTTAATACCAGCATGTGAAAGGCTCATTTAATCATTTTTATTTTTATTTTTTCATTTTCTTCCTCATTTTTCAGCCACCATCTCTCAAAACTTGAACTCCTTCCATGGAGAAATAATTTTGATGATGTTACAAACAAAAAAAGAACAAATTTCAACACGAAGAGATTTCACAAACAAAAAATTTTCAACCCATTAGAAGGGCCACGATTCATGATGTCGCAAAGAAGAAGGGCAACGGAGAATCTTGAAAACGACGATGGGTGAGGTGGGAGAGGGGTGGAGAAGACGATGTGAGTGGGGAAAGGGTGGGCGGAGGTGGAGAAGGCACTGGGTGGGTGGGGGAATAGCCGGAGAAGACGATATGGGTGGGTGGGGGAGAAGATGACCTTGGTGGGTTTGGGTTATTTTTTAATTTTAATTTTTTTGTGTAAAAAATTTCACATGTCATTTAGTCACTGGCTACTTCTTCATTCTACTAAAATATCATTATTTAAAAATTATTTTTAATATATATGCCACATATTTTTATTTAATTTGCTCCTTTGCCACGTAATCGACGAGTGTGTTACACATACCATATATATTTGACTGATTGTTAAAAAAGTGTTAAAATGACACAATGCAGTATGACATGAGGTGTCTAAAATGAACAAAACTTAGTTAAGGTGTCATAGTGCATTGTGTCATTTTAACACTTTTTTAACAATCAGTCAATATATAGGTCTAACCCATCGATGGCCCCCTAAAGTATGCCATGGGGTGTCTATCATGAGAGTTGAATGTTTGAACGGTCACTCAATTTATAATAAGTAGTTATTAAAGTTACTTTATTTTATTTTATTTTTCGAAAGTTATTTGAAGCAAAATATTTTATTTATAAACTCAAAAGTTCTATATGTTTCTGTGTATGTTCTATGTGTATTTTTGTATTTTCTGTATATTGAAAATAATTAGTAACATCTCTATTTATAAAGGTAAAAACCAAATTAAACTAGGAGTAGGAACTACTCTAACTAACAAATTTTAATCAAACATAAATAAGTAAATACCATAAATAACAAATCCTAAACAACTTAGGATTCCTACTCTGAATTATTATTTCCAACATTATTTAACTTTGACTTAATTAGGAATACTTATATGATATCGATTGGTTGGATTTGAATTTAATAGTTATTTGTCGACTTATCGGTTAATCAATAATGTCAATCAAATTTTTTTTTATTGAAAATACTCCTGAATTTAAAATAAATTATTAGTTTAGTTTTCAAACTATTAATAACCTTAAAAACACTCATCTAATTGACTAACTAAACTTAGATACACCTCTGATCTGTCACATGAAATAACAAGTGGTTTCAAACTCTTATGTAGGAGCATGAAGTTTTTAATAAAAAGTAGAGAAAATCGTTGAAAACAACCTAAACTTGGCGAGAATTTAGGGGCATATTTCACTTATATTACAAGATTGGGGGTGTATTTAAATTCAGTTAATCAAGTAAATGTGTGTTTTTAAAGTTGTCAATAATTTAAAGATAAAACTAATAATTCGCACCTAATTTAATATTGTTTTCACTACTTCTCTCAAATCCAAAATGCTCACTTTTGAATCTGCTTATGTAAAGCAAATATGGTCAGAATATGACTTAAATTCATAATTTTCTATGCCAGATAAGAACACGTAGTATTTTAAAAGGATGAAGACAGTGCCTATATAGTTAAGAAAACTATTTAATACACAATTTTATTTATAGTAAATACTAATCAAGAAATTGTTTCAAACACAACAATAATATTTTCTAAACGAGTACCAACAATATGGCAACATTATATTATAAAGAAAATAAATTGGCAACCTACATAAAAGTATTCTCACCAAACATGCACACAACAATTAATATTACTTTTGGAACTACATATAAGGATATAAATATTTATATTTAACTCTTAATGAATTAATGATTTATCGTGTATAAGGAAATTGAGTAATTCTTATCCCAATTCATTTGAAATGGGTTAGCTATATAAAAGTGTCTCATAATAAAATATTTAAGTATTTAACTAAGAGAATATGATGATTCTTCAATTTCTAACATTTTAAATATTAGAGTTACGTTGTTATAAATAACATATAACCATCGTATTCTTTTAGTTGAATGTTAGTAAAGGCATCTCTTATACAGTCAACTTATTTTAAGTGAGTTATGTTCTAAATAAATCTAAATACTGATTTTAATTTTTAAATTTTTTTTTCTAAAAATTTAAAGCTGACACGTCATTTAAAAGGGTATTGGTTCAAGTTAAAATTCCATGAAAGTTAACTAGGCTAATTGAATGATTATGAAGTTAGCTAACTAGACAAAGTTGGATGATGAGATACTTTTGAAAGACAAAATAAAAATTGAGAAACTTTGGGCTAATTACTATGAGATGAGTGACCATTCAACGCAACATAAGTAACTTTGCAATTTCCTTATTTTATTTTCTTTCGAAAATAAGATAATCAACATTAGAAGTGTGCTCGATATAAAAAAATATATTTTTCATGAAAAAATGTGTTTTTGGAATCATTCTTCAAAAAAGTAAGTGTGGGAATGGAGTTACAGGGTGGGGACTGGGGTGAAGATGATGTGTGTTGAAAGATGAGAAAAATAGTCTGAAGTGTTATTTGTGGAACTTGTTTTTCCTACTTGCACTATAGAAAAGTCATTTCTTTCAAAAAAATTTAAAGAAACTTGTTTTCCTAGAAAAAAATACTTTTGGAAAATTTTGACCAACGAAACATGAGAAAATTAAAAAATTATTTTCCTCTGCACCAAACAAATCTACCATAACACAATTGAACAACAATGAATGAAATGTATATTTCTAAAACTATTTAATATCTCCATTATGATAATCCACTGTTTGATATAATTTCAATATTCAACTTGTTCATTTCATCTACAGTGTGTCCATTGACTAAAGCACATAAAAAGTGGGTCTGAAACATATATATCACACATCAACATTCAAAAGATTATATGAAAAAACATTAGGTTAAATTCTTATTAAAGGTGATCGCTGTTATTCAGACAATTATTGGAACAATCATAAAGTGAGTACTAATTATAAAGTAAATGGAGACAGAAATATTAGTTCTTTCCTCTAATATTTGTTGCTTTGTTTGTCTTAATATAATGTGAGTCCCCAAATTAAATAGGTACATAATAAGTGAAACATAAATTAAAGCAAAAGGATTATCTTTCACACAAATTGACCCTACACTTAATTATCTTTTCAGAATTAAAGGTCAATTGAGCAACCTTAATTACTTGGTGCATGAACTGGACACAAGTAATTAATTAAAGCATTTTTCCAACATAATAAGTAATTCCAAAGAATATGATTGATTTGGTAAATATCTTTTAGGACTAGTTTGGATGTGACCTAAGCACGTGAAGAAACGGGTTTTTTTTAGCAACTACCCAAGAAGATAAATTACGGAATAAATAAAATCAATACAAGTATTTTAATGTGGAAAATACCTTGGTCAAGAGAGGGAAAAACTACGATATGCCTTTGTAAGATTTTACAAACTCTCTACTAATTAAACTCGAGCAATTTAAGGTTTATGACCGTCCTTACAACACCTAAGGAAATGTTCCTAGATATATTTGTTTTTTCAATAATTAGAAAACCATATATATATATATATATATATCGACAAATAATACATTCAATTAAGATCACAAACATATGGTGATATATTTGCCCTTTTCAATTAGTAAATATTAAATAACTCACATTTCAAATATTGTATTGATTTGTATTGAATTTATTTAGCAGCAAACAACTCTCTCTAAATAATAAAATTTGTAAGCTAATTTATTTAAATAAATTTAGTAGTACAAATATAAAACATAAAATCAAGAAAATACTAATACCACAATATAGAAGGTATTAGTTATACATTCATATAATACCATGTAGGGTATATAACTAATCCATGGATTAATTATACATCGACCCAAAATTCCTACCAAACATAATATTAAATAAGTAAGAATTACACAAATCTCATAGTGTTAAGAGCTAATTACATCTTATCCATATTCTTTTTCAAATTACAAAAATCCCTTAAAATTTAATAAAGATTCCGGATACATCACTCAACGTTCCTATTCATCGCATTCCGATACATTACCTTTGTTGATACAAGACACACATGTCCCGATACATCCTCAACATCTCGATACATCGCTTTTCGATACATTACCTTTGTTGATACAAGACACACCTGTCCTAATACATCCTCAACGTCTCGATACATCACTTTTCGATGCATTGCCTTTGTTGATACAAGAAACACCTATCCTGATACATTGCGTAAGAGTGATGTATCTGAGAATAGGAGAGAGTGAGGAAAATAGTGATTTTTGTAATTTTTTCAAATGGTAGAAAATTCTAGAAAATATGACAAAATAAATTGTATGTTTAGATAATTTTTCCTAAATAGTACCATATATAATACATGATTTATTTCTCCTAGCCCCTTATACTTCTGGGTTAAGAAAATACAGAGACCTTAAATATGGCTATTCCAAAAACTTTGAACCTTTTATTGCCTCCTGTGGTCCAAGATGGTGCTCAACAATATTTTTGATTCTGACACTATTTTGGACAAATGAGTTTGCAAACTGAGAAACAAATTACAACAAAAAAAACATAACACACTTGGTAACAAAATAATAAAACCACACTACAACAGCATAAAAAATACATGAATTTAAGCAGAAACACACAAATCTTCCTTCAATTTCCTATGATGATTTAATCCATTCAATAAAATTTATCAAATTCTGGTGAGACTTTCCACCTTCTTTCACTGAGCTCATATTCATTTCCTTGATTTGCAAAGCTCTTTTCTTGAATACATCATTACCTAGCAATTGTTCCACTTTATCCTTAATTTCTCCACAACTAATAATCCCATTTTCCCCTTTCTTTAGTCCTAATCCAACTTTCCATATATCACAAATATAACTTTGGTTCATAAATTGGTCAGCAAAATAAGGCCAACACAAGATTGGAACACCATTACTTATTGCTTCTATTGTAGAATTCCAACCACAATGACTAACAAAACAACCTATACTAGAATGACTTAAAACCTTTTGTTGTGGTGCCCAACTCACTATTTTCCCTTTTTGCCTCCCTATTTTATCTACAATTTTTTTCAAGAAAATATCAGTTTTAGCATCTAGAGTATTAGTTCTCACAACCCATAAGAATGGTTTGTTTGATAGTTCAAGCCCTAATGCCAATTCTTGAAACTGAGTTTCATTGAATATTGTGAAGCTCCCAAAGGCTACATACACAACTGAGCATAATGGTTGTTGATCAAGCCAGTTTAGGCAAGTTGAGTCCTCAGGCCAGAAGGATCCGGCTAGTGAATTAGGAGATTCTTTAGAAGAAATACGGGGTTCTGCTTCAAGAGGCAACGTGCTTGATTCGAGAGAGTTGATTGACAAAAGTGGACCTATAGGCATTATCTCTGGTGCTAATTTGAAGGCTCCTGGTTCAAGGTCATATGTTGAGTTGCAAATAAGCCATTCTGCTGATTTCACAGATTTATTGTTGTGAACCAACATGTTAAATATGATTTTCTGCATTGTTGAATTCCCCATGCTTGTCCAAAGTAAATTTGATGTGTTCATGATTGGCATAGTTGGTTCAAACTGAAAAGTATGATCTTTTATTGTTGGAGTCCCTGCATTATAGGTTTAAAAAAAATTCACTTGTGGATACAGAGTTTACGTTTTATGCACTGATGATATGAGTAAATCTCTATGATATTGTTAACCTCGTAAGAATTAGTAATTTCATACAGGTTAGCAGTAGTGGAACAAGGATTTCCACCAAGGGGTTCAAAATATGAAAAAGTAAACACGCGAATAATTTAAGGGAGTTCAACGTCTACTATATATATACATAAAAAAAAAAAAATTAACCATGTATAAACAGTACAATTTTTCGCTGAAGAAGGTTTGGAAACCCCTGAGCCCTTACTAGCTCCGCCCCTACAGGTTAGGCGGTGCCTTCCTAAAGTGCCTGGAAGGGCAACAATAGACAAATAACTGACTTTAATTTTTGGTGATTGCTTTTTACCTGCCAAAAGCCCACCAGTATGGCCAGTACTGACAATCTAGTCTAGCGTACTGAACAGGCTTTCGATCAGTTGGGAAAAGTAATCACAGGGGATTCAGTTGTTTTGCCTTACTTCACCCTTCTATCAAACTTCAGGAAGGCGTTATACAACATATCACATACTAAACTACACCGATATTGTAAAAAGACTTTACACAAGCAGTAATATAACTTAATCCAAACATAAAAACATAGATTAGTAGAAAATTACTTACCATCATTGTCAATTAAGCCATCATCAATCAACTTTGGAATGTTAAATCCAAGTATCAAATTAGCAGCTGCAGCAGTTATGAAGGCTGCTCTCTTGATTCCCATTTTGTCTGCAAGTTCCAGAGCCCATCCAAGGCTCTGATCAGCAATAATACAAGTGATCCTTTCGTCTTCTGATTCATTAGTTTGTTGAATCAACTTCTCAATTTTTCCAGGCATGATTTTAAAGATTGCTTCAGATAATTTACCAGGCACATTCTTATCTTCCCCTGATTCTGATTCATCTAAAACTGAAATCAGATGAATCTGATCATGCAAACTATTTTTTCCTGATAAAGAAGTTAGAATACTCTTGTGTGTGGACTCTGTGTTGACAAAAGTGATCTTGAAGCCATATTTGGCTAAGGATTGAGCTAGCTGCATTAAGGGAATAACATGGCCTTGTACTGGATATGGTATCATCAATATGTGTAGTTTGCACATTCTTGTTTCTTAATCTTTGATGTTCAAATGATAACTTGCAAGGTCATATTTTGGTGGAGAGAGTTGGAAATTTATATAGTCCAATGAGGGGTAAATTTGGACCATGTCGCAAAATGAAGAGAGCAATAGTAACACAAATAACGCGATAATTGAAATAAAGGAAATAACATGTAATACCAAAATCGAAGAATAAGATAATAAGAGAGTACTGTCAACAATTATCAAATAGTTTGTCTTATCATATAAGTTAAATACAATAATTATCAACTTTGGTGTTTTGTGTGTGACATTGAAGTTGAGGAATCTTAATTCTTATACCATTTCTGTTACACCAGACTACAATAATTTTTCACTATTTAATTGTCAAGTTCGTCTTATTTGGGGCAAATTTAATAATGGGGTTGAAGTCCAAACAGAGTAACGACAGCTTTACCATTCATAAACAAAGAGATCGGATCCAAAATAAGGCCCCAGCTGATATATCAAAAATAAAGTTGTGTACCAGAAATAATTGACTTATTATTCTAGAGATAGACTAGAAATCAACAACAATATTATTAAGTATGTCAATGACGTCAAAGGGATATCAAGTGAAATTGAGATATGTATAGAATATATTTGTTGCTATGATACCATGTTGAAGTGTGTAACCATCTTATCTAAAAGCTTAAATTGTTAGAGAGAGCACAGTTTTATTAGTTAATAATATTCTCAACAGATATGATGTACATATTGTTTATGCAACAAATGATAACGTGATGATTATTATACAGTGAATAATAATGTAAGAATACAACCAATAACATCATAAATAACCCTTCTCAAACGATAGGCCCGCCCCAGAATCAGTTTTTTTTTTAATTCTCATCGACTGATGCAGGAATTCAAAATCTCTGATATGAGGTATGATGTATTATAGTTACAACATAAAAGCATTTATATGGACAGAATCTCAATAAGAACATGCAAGTCTAGAACTATGCAGTATTATTGCCTGAGCCATATTTGATATTCTGGTCCTTTATCAACAAATTTCTGCCAGGTACCATCCAAATGTACTTCTTTGGAAGGATTCCAGTCCAAATGACCAAGTTTCATCACAAGAGTATCTCCAATCTGTGCAACGTAACCATCATCGTTTGCATGATATATCTTTAACGGGCTACGGCAATGGATTCCAGCTCGTCTCCGCGCCTCAATTAACTCGTTTATGACATCACGGATTCCGAATTCATAGAAATGATCGTAAAATATTACAGGCTGCAAACAAATGAATAGGAATTAGGATCTCTTTTGAGCTTTAACTCAAGATTGAGGGCTCATATAACCACCTATATTGGAATTATATATGGATATGCTTTAATCTTGTGAGTGTGATCCATACATAAATACATTACAAATACATAAAAAAACAAAAAATTGGCATAGGTAAGAGCTAGTAAGACTAGGTTATAGCAAGACAACATAAGTTAAAGAGCTCTTTGTACGTGTGTAAGGATTCCACAGTTCCGGTAGCACACTCATGTACTCAGTTTGGATCTCACTAGGCCCTTTCTAGTTTAAAAGCTACTAATGTAGGACAAGGGTGAAAGGAAACTAAAGGTTATTTGGTAAAAGAAAAAACAAGGGAGCTTTAGCCACTCAATTTACTTTGGAGAACAAATTTTTCTCTTCTCCTACTTAAAGATCTACCACAAAAATCAAAGAAAACAAAGATTACCGTTCCAGGGTGGGTTAAAATGTATGCATATCCTTGTGTAAGCTTGTCCCGAGGAAATGGCCAGTGGCCCTGAAAGAAAGGAATATTATTTGTTATTACATGATAAGATATTTGGTATTAGCATGTCAGAATCAGAATAACATTATCCAATTTGCAGCAATCAGTGAGTAAATGCATGAAAGCAAATTACTTTTCAGCTCACGAAGCAGATAAAAATTACAATTAAATAGTGCATACAAACAATAACCGCTCCTCAAAGTAAGTTGAAGTCGGCTATATGAATTCTCACTGTCCATTTAGGCTCATCTCTAAATAGTCCATGGCAACTAAAATTCAAGTCATTTAGAAAAAATAAAATTAAAGCTCAGATATAACTATGAAATTTGCTAGACACTTCAGATACCTAATGTACAATAGAGCAACTGAAGATCATTACGTACTCTGCAAACTTAAACTCTGATAATTGACCTCTACCGTTGAAATTGTATGTGAAAAATTCAAGTATAACAGTTTCATTGGGCCCCAGTCACAAAGAAAGAAATTTGTGTGGAATTACTCTGCTTTCAAGGTATGACGGGTCCCACATCGGTGGCAAAAGGGATGGGTGGTCTCTTTGTTTTGCTTGGACCATCCTCACCCCGTGATCTCGCTTTTGGGGTTGAGTTTGTCCCAAGATCAATTTCTTAACATGGTATCATTTCCTGATGTTGAATTCCCCTTATTAAAATTGTGCATGCTCCAGATGTCATGTCCTCTGAGTGTGTGTGTGTGTGGGGGGGGGGGGGGGGGGTCCCACATCAGCGGTAAAAGGGATGTGTGGTCTCTTTATATAACTTGGACAATCCTCACCGCTTGAGCTAGCTTTTGGGGTTGAGTTAGGTCCAAGATCCATTTGTTAACACAAGGTAAAACATGTAAGTTGGACAGAAGGCACGCACATCAAATGTAGGACAATGGATTCGAAAATTAGCAAGTAAAACATGGGAGCATATGTGAGCAATGACTGATCCAGAAATTCTAACGAGATTAAAGAACATAAGAATGTCACACTTGGAGGAACTTGCAACCTAAACTCCTAAAGCAATTTCTGAATCGCTTTGCCGCTACACTTATCGTGTTTCTTACATCAAGGAATTAAAAAATAAATATTACCCTTAGATCCACCACTACATGTGAGGGAGGCAGTAGTGTTGTGTGTGGGGGGGAAGGGGGGGACAAGTATCAAATGATTTAGGCCAAGATATAAGACGGTAGTTAGGTCAGCATTAAATGCTGGCTAGCACTTCCATAATACATGTCTTGGTTAGCTAGGGTACTAACTCTGATCCATGCTCAATAGATTCTTCTGCCAAGTTTTGTTTTGGTATGCAACATCATAGACTAAACATTATCACTTGGTGAGCTTAAAGTTCAGAATTTTAAATCTCAAAGCCTGAATCTCATGCTTCACTACTCTGTTTATTAGATTTCCAACAACAAATGTGAGTATAAAACTGCACATCGAGAGCTTATGGATCAGATATGAAAATCTAAAACTATATTAACAGAATATATATTTGTAACATACACTACAGAATACCCCAAGATTTTTGGTGTTCCATAAACTTAACAGAATTTTACCAGAAACATTCCTCAAGTTGGCCAAAAGATTGAGTGGTTCCCTCTAAAATTATAATTAACAAATAACATCTCCATCTGCATATATTTAATTCTTTTTGCAAAGACCTTAACATTCCGTCAAACTTTAACAGAACTGTTATGTGCACCTCATGTGAACATTCTCCTTTCCCCTTTTCCAGGAGAACTTCTGCCTCTCCTATCCTCATGCTCCTTTTCCCAGTGTTGCACATGCCTCTGGGAAACCCCAAGGTTTCAGAAAAGTCATTTTTTTAGGCTAAATTTCTGAGGGAATTGTTCACATTGGAGTTGTTGACACATGAAGGTGGATCCTATACATGCACTGACATGGAACAGTCTGGTTTTGTAAGGTTTGATAAATGTTTGGCATGCAAATTCAGAACTTTTGGATTCCTAAGGTGTTTGCTCTCAATGTTTTCAGCTCCTCCTATTTCACATACTTCCTGAGATCATCATCCCGGATGTTTGCAACAATCAAAGGGTTCTGACCAAGGCTAATGAAGAAGGAAACAGTATTAGTTCCACATGAACTATTATCTTAAGTTGCAGACTTTGGGCAATTTATTTGTGTATTTGTTTCTTTGGGGCAGTCTGAACCTAGCATGGTTTCAAGTTTCAATAGTTATTTAACCGAAAATCTCATGGCAAGAAATTTTCCTTATCCAGAACAGAAGTGCTCAAATTCTGGAGGGCTGTGAAAGATGAGTTTATATAAACTTGGTTTGTATGAGAAGGCTGCCTTGGGACTTCCATGTCTCTGACATGAGGTCTTAAGTTTCTTTACGATGGAGTATGGAGATCCCACTTATGGCTATCCTGAACCTTTGGCCTCATCCCTCAATATACCAGCTACAGGAAATTGATTTGTTGTTGGAACAGTTGAATCACGCTGGCAGTGAACTGTTTCTATTCTGTGAGCCGAGATGGAAAGAGAAGAAACCAAAGAAGAAGAAGCAGAGTGCATACATGTGCTGCTTGCATGACTGTCTCTTTATCCGAAAATGACAATTTATTTTGGGACCAAATTTGTTAAGATTTTTGAAAGTGGAGGGCATATTAGAGGGATCTACTTTCTCTTTTGGTCAAATTTAAAGGAAATTTTGAGCCAAAAGCTCTGAACAGAGGTTTATGTGAATGTTGACATATTTAACCTCCATGGCAGTGCATTTAAGTTGGAGCATGTCTCACTGAATAAGTGAGAGCACAAGTAGGCATGTACATCTGTATGTTTATGAGTGTGCTTGTTAGAGCAAGAAAGAGAGAGGACCTGTGTGGATCCAGTATCATGATTCTCCAAAAATGTGACAGCACGCGAGGGCCACCATCCCATCACTCCTGTTGGCTTGCCTTGAGGATCAATTAGCCTCCAATATTGGTTATGCAAAGCGGAATGCAGTATACCCTGCCAGAAAAATATCATTCACCAACAAGCTGAAAAGCTCATTTAAACCTTTCTACACTAACATGAAGAAGCAATTTAAATCTAAATCAGGAGAATGAAAATATTTACCTATAGATACCTTAGCATGAATTAATATTAAAGGTTGATTTATTAACGAGTAGATTATGTGGGACAATAGATCACATGGGACTATTATTTCCCAGGTCAGTGGGATAATTCTTGGTCTTGGAGTATGATACGGAAATCTATTAACAAAAGATGTTTTAATAA